GGGTCTGTCGAGACCTTGACCTGAAAGACCAAAGAGACTGCTCGCTCTCCTCAAAGGCCCTGGCATGCCCTCTGAGCCACGTCTCTACCATTGAGATCCGACGAGGTTCTGCTAGGGATACCAAAATGTAGCAGTAGCTGTTGCAGCAGCAGTGGCGGTGGCGATAGCAGGAACGGAACAGTGGTGGTGGTGCCGGTGGTGGTGGTGGTGGTGCATGCGGTAGTGGTGGTGTTGATGGTGTTGATGGTGGTGGTGGTGGTGGTGGTGGTGGTGGTGGTGGTGGTGGTGGTGGTGGTGGTGGCGGTGGTGGTGGTGGTGGGTGGTGGTGGTGGTATGTGGTGGTTTTTATGGAGGTGGTGGTATGTGGTGCTGGTGGGGGTGCTGCTGCTAGGGCTGGTGCTGGCAGTGGTAGTGGGGGTAGTGGGGGTAGTGGGGGTGGTGGTGCTGGTGGTGCTGGTGGTGGTGGTGCTGGTGGTGCTGGTGCTGGTGCTGGCGCTGGCGCTGGCGCTGGCGCTGGCACTGGCGCTGGCGCTGGCGCTGGGGCTGGTGCTGGTGCTGGTTGTGGTGGAGGTGCTGCTGGTGCTGGTGTGGTGGTGGAAATGCTGGTGCTGGTGCAGTGGTGGGGTGATATAGTGGTGGGTGGTGGTGGGTGGTGGTGGGTGGTGGTGGGTGGTGGTGGGTGGTGGTGGGTGGTGGTGGGTGGTGGTGGGTGGTGGTGGGTGGTGGGTGGTGGGTGGTGGTGTGGTGGTGTGGTGGTGTGGTGGTGTGGTGGTGTGGTGGTGTGGTGGTGTGGTGGTGTGGTGGTGTGGTGGTGTGGTGGTGTGGTGGTGTGGTGGTGTGGTGGTGTGGAGGTGTGGTGGTGTGGTGGTGTGGTGGTGTGGTGGGGTGGTGGGGTGGTGGGGTGGTGGGGTGGTGGGGTGGTGGGGTGGTGGGGTGGTGGGGTGGCTGGTGGCTGGTGGCTGGTGGCTGGTGGCTGGTGGCTGGTGGTGGTGGTGGCGGCGGTGGTGCTGGTGGTGAGAATGTTGGTGCTGGTGGTGGTGGGTGGTGGGTGGTAAATGGTGGGTGTGTGGGTAATGGGTGGTAAGTGATCAGTGATCAGTATAATTAATATACCGTACCTAAATAACACTAAAGAATAGACAGACTAGATAATATTAGACGCTGCCCCCACCCTGTAATAGTGGGGGGCCCTAATACTATAATCCTTACATTACAGCTTATAGTCACTATTACAGGGTGAGGGGGCAGCTTCTATTTACAAATTATATTATATATTGCTTCAATGATAAATAAATAATCTAATCTAAATATTCGTTAGAAGGTGCCCCCACCCTGTAATAGTGGTATAATAGGAATATAATATGGCCATGGCCCTAGTATAATCCTTATAACTTATATAACTTATAGCCACTATTACAGGGTGGGGGTCCCTTCTAATAGATCCGATTCGATAATAATAATAATAATTATTACACTAATAATATAATAATAATAATAATTAATAATAATAATAATAATAATAATAATAATAATAATAATAATAATAATAATAATAATAATAATTAATAATAATAATAATAATAATAATAATAATAATAATAATAATAAATGGTGGGTGGTGTGGGTGGGTGGTGGGTGGTGGGTGGTGGGTGGTGGGTGGTGGGTGGTGGGTGGTGGGTGGTGGGTGGTGGGTGGTGGGTGGTGGGTGGTGGGTGGTGGGTGGTGGGTGGTCGGTGGTGGGTGGTGGGTGGGGGGTGGCTGGGTGGCTGTGGCTGGGTGGCTGGGTGGGTGGCTAAATGGCTGGGTGGCTGGGTGGCTGGTGTGGCTGGGTGGCTGGGTGGTGTGGCTGGTGTGGCTGGGTGGCTGGTGGCTGGTGGCTGGTGGCTGGTGGCTGGTGGCTGGTGGCTGGTGGCTGGGTGGTGGGTGGTGGGTGGTGGGTGGTGGGTGGTGGGTGGTGGGTGGTGGGGGGTGGGTGGTGGGTGGTGGGTGGTGGGTGGTGGGTGGTGGGTGGTGGGTGGTGGGTGGTGGGTGGTGGGTGGTGGGTGGTGGGTGGTGGGGGGTGGGTGGTGGGTGGTGGGTGGTGGGTGGTGGGTGGTGGGTGGTGGGTGGTGGGTGGTGGGTGGTGGGTGGTGGGTGGTGGGTGGTGGGTGGTGGTGGTGGTGGTGGTGGTGGGCGGGCCCGGGCTCCAAACTGACTCGGCTCTGAGTTTGGTGGGTGCCTCCGGGGCCCGAAATTGGATCTCATTTGCTGGTGCTACTTTTTGGCTGTGTGTTTAATGTTAAACCTAATTTTGAGCTATTACAGGGAGGGGGCCACATCGAACATATGACATATGTGCTCTTGCGATGTGATTACATACGCTGCATGTTTTGTGGACATGTTCGCGAAATCAATCCTTTCATGCTGTACAAGACTAGGCATGAATCTCTGCTGGAAGACGGTACCGTAAGAAGACCACTTAATTGATCGTCTTCGCCCGTTACCGTGTACGGAACTAAACGTTTCGTCTACTCTTCTCTAGGACTGAAGCCTTTACTAAGGGAGATTTAGTGTTATACGGAAAATGTATTGGCTTGGCTTACACTTATCTAAAGGGACATGTATAACGTGTGTTGCTTCATGCTTGGATGGGGGTGTCTCTAGGTGGTTCGCTTTCATTTTTGTACGTCTTTAACTGGTGCTTACACTAAAGAGCACTACCCAGTACAGTCACCTTAAAACTCTGACATACAGGAGTCTTTATTGGTCATCATGCATTAGGTGCGAACAAGGTAAACGACTGTGTAAGAACAGACAAGCTCTAGCTCGATAGGATGGACATGATTCAGATGATGCATAGGCTAAAAATTACCTAAGCTCAGAATAAACATGTAAACCGTATATGATACAAGACAGCGACAACAACACACTTATCTCATCAGTACCAATAGCAATATAGCTTAATCGAAGAGGAGTAGAATGGAGTAGAAAGTTCAATACGCAGCCAAAACATGTTGAATTATCGTCGGTCGTCGCCTCCTTCAGCTGGCTTCTAGGAACAAATATGTCGGCAGAATAAGCTATAATTTGACTGACAGTTTTGGCGTATGTTGGCAAATCGTGAAAGCACAGGTGCAAATATTCGAAAAGTAACAGCTCGTAGGCTTATACTTTATCAAAATGTGAATAAACGTAGGATTCAACAACCAATACATTTACTTTTACAGGTCGGGCTAGTATAAAAACCGGGTGAGCAATAGCCACGGGACTAGCGTACCTAGGAAATTTTTTTTTGCAGACATACTAACACAGGGGGAAATAAAGAGTGTTAGCTGGGTTACCTACCTAGGAAAGTTTTTATTCAGACATAGTAAGACAGGTGGAAATAAAGAGTGTTAGCTGGGTTGGTATTACTGAAGCAATCAGAACGGTGGGTATAACCATAGTAGTAAAGACACTGGTCACAGGAAGAACATCTTTGGTAAATGTAACAGTGAAACTACACGTGGTGCTGGCATAGACGAAAATATTAGTACTTTCGTGTACTTTGCATATAACAAAGAACAGTGGAGATTGGAAAGGTTTGTATTGCCACGACGACGATCCCGCACAATTCAAGCGCAAAGCGTGGTACATGAGGGGGGGGGGGGGGTAGAATATATATATATATATATAGATAAAATATCATTACACATATATGTATATGTGTGTATACATATATATATATATATATACATACACATATTTGTATATACATATACGTATATATATATATATATAGATACATACATATATATATATATATATATATATACATACATATATGTATATATGTACTATGCAAATATGTATGTGTACGTGCATGTGCGTGTGCATGTGTACGTGCATGTGTGTGTGTATGCGCTTGTGTGTGCGTGTGTGTGTGTGTGTGTGTGCATGCATGTTCGTATGTTTGTATATGTGTATATATGCACATGTACATGTAGATGTAGATGTGTCTTTGTGTGTATGTGTGTATGTTTGTGTGTATGTACGTGAATATATGTATATGTATATGTATATGTATATGTATGTGTCTGTGTCTGTGTATGTGTATGTGTATGTGTATGTGTATGTGTATGTGTATGTGTGTGTATATATTTATAACATACATATAATCTGTATATATATATATATATACATATACATATGCATACATGCGCGCAGATACAAAGATGTTTCTCCCCTCCAGGCCATGGCTGTCGCTTGAGACTTTTCACCTCGTGAGGTGCCACCGGACGTCCTATTTCGGAGCCTGGGCTGGAGTTCTTCCGTCTGGTTCTTAGTAGGGAATGGGGGAATGGGTTGTGGGGACCATTATTTGGGATTTATATAGGGATTACTATAGGGATCCATTTCCCCATGCTCTACTAAGCACCAGACAGTCTTTCATCATAACAGTGCACGCGATTGGGGCTCGTTTGAGAGGTGCAAACCTTAAGCTTGAAACCCCAAAACAACCTACACGCGAAACCCTAAACATTACGAAGGTACTGGAAAGGTTGGGACGAGAGTTACTACAAGAGCTACTTTACTAAACTATGAGGCAAGGTGCATTCACTGGTTCCTTTGGTCGTTGCGATAAGGGGTCTTTTTCGGGCTACTATACGGGCTACTGTAAGGGTTGCCTGATGTGCGTATTACCACGAGGGTGAGAACCATCATCACAACGACAGCGCGAATTAAAGCAAACAAAACCCTTCTTACTCACATTGGAACCAGATGGGCAACAGCACAGGCGCTACTTTACTAGCAACAGCCAGCATGGAAATGAGTATAGAAGTCGACATGGGAAATGCATGGACATACGTTATTCATAGGGACCCTTACGGGCGTAGGAGGGAGGGGGGTAGGGCTATACTTCCTTAAACAGCATTCTTAGGCCCGTATTATGGACATTAATGCCCCCTACCCTGCCTCCCCCTACCCCTCTAAGGGTCCCTATGAGTAATCAATACAGACGGGCAGCTTGGTGAGGATCCTCAGGAGCAATGCCATTCGACCAATTTGCCGGCAGCCTCCCGTTCCCCGGCTTCTTTCGCCTTGGCCATCCATTGACATGCCAGCTCATCGGAGCCTGGACTCTTGTTTAAGGAACTCAATTTGAGCTACTATGATAAGGAAACCGTGTTTCTTTCACATAGATCCTCATTATGGTAACAAAAATTACACTCTTCAATTTACCATGATAAGGAAACCATATTATATACCATAAATCCCCATTATGGTAACACAAATCCACTCTTCAACACGAACCCAGGCGCTCCGATCGCTCCTGTAGAGAAGGGCCAGGTACCGCAAAGCAGAAGTGCTACCCCTTGCAATGGCCAACTCGTACATCCCCTTGGCCTTGCTTAAGGCTATACGTTCATAGTCTTCTTGCATAAAAGGGGAGTACCGAGGAGACGTCTTCAAGACGTGAGCCATCAGTTCGTAAAGGTACGCAAGGCTGGTTGCTGCTTCAGTGCTGCCCCTCTCGATGCCCATCTCATAGAGTTCCTTGGCCTTGTCCCAATCCTGGTCGACCCCACGGCCATCGCGGTACATGTGCCCAAGACATTCCGGGGCGAGGTCGTCACCACTGTTGATGCCCTTCTCATACAGCTCTTTGGCCTTATGGAAATCCTGTGCTGCACCCTGCCCGTTCTCGTATAGGGCTCCAAGACTAGTAGAGGCTCTGCGCCATCCCCTGCGCATGCCCATTTCATAGAGTTCCCGGGTCTTCTCAAAATCCCGGGCCACCCCGAAGCCGTGGGCGTACAAGAACCCGAGAGCAGTGGGGGCAGCAGCACTGTCCCTTTCGATGGCTATCTCATACAATTCTTTGGCCTTGTGGAAATCTTGGGCGACGCCTTGCCCGTCCTGGTACATGTTTCCAAGGGCACACGGGGCTTCGGAGTCGCCCTCCTCCATGGCCAGCTGAAAAAGTTCCCGTGCTTTCTGAAAGTCCCGAGCCACCCCGAGGCCGTACTGGTACAAGCGACCGAGGCTCCAGCGCGCAGTGGCGCTGCCCTTTTCGATGCCCGTTTCATAGAATTCTTTGGCCCTGCGGAAGTCTTTGACCACACCTTCTCCAGTCTCGTACAAATATCCAAGGTGGCTGAGGGCAACCACGTCGCCTCTTTTGATGGCTAGCTCATACAGTTCCTTCGCCTTGTGGAAGTCTTGCGCTACACCGTTGGCATTCTGGTACATGCTTCCCAGTCTGGTAGCGGCAAAAGTGTCGCCCCTCTGTAAGCCGAGTTCATAGAGTTTCCGTGCCTTTTGAAAATCGCGGACCACTCCGCAGCCGCGATAGTACAGGAACCCGAGGGCACACGGGGCGGAAGCGCTGCCCCTTTCGAGGCCTATCTCATACAGCTCTTTAGCTGCATGGCAGTTTTTCGTCACACCTTCTCCCTGCTGCCACATGATTCCGAGGGAAAACGGGGCCTCCGGATCGCCATAAGTGTAGGCCAGCTGAAAAAGTTCCCGTGCTTTCTGAAAGTCCCGAGCCACCCCGAGGCCGTACTGGTACAAGCGACCGAGGCTCCAGCGCGCAGTGGCGCTGCCCTTTTCGATGCCCGTTTCATAGAATTCTTTGGCCCTGCGGAAGTCTTTGACCACACCTTCTCCAGTCTCGTACAAATATCCAAGGTGGCTGAGGGCAACCACGTCGCCTCTTTTGATGGCTAGCTCATACAGTTCCTTCGCCTTGTGGAAGTCTTGGGCCACACCTTGGCCAAGCTGGTACAAGACTCCCAGGCCGCTGATGCCCCGAGCGTAGCCCCTTTGCATGCTAAGTTCAAAGAGTTCCCGTGCCTTCCTGGGTTGTAGTTCTGGGGCTCTGAAAAGTATTTATGAATAGGTACCTCTACAGGACTATAGGAACCATAAGGGAAATCAACAAGTTTCCCAAATTGCCACCTAGCTTCTGAAAGCTTCGTGACACCCCGAAGCCGCTGTAGTACATGAATCCGAGTTGGCAACAAGCCTCGTCGGGGTCGAAGAGAAACCGAGCTCCACCGACGACAAGGTTCTCTTTGGCACAGGGACCCCAGCGCCATGTGGTGCTCTCCTGAAACTTGTCTGACACTGGGGACAGCAAGCGCGCCCTTTCGTAAATGACGGAAGTCGCCCCTCTCATGTCCACCAATGTCATGGCGGGGTGCGTGAAGGTGATGTTCATCTGCAGCTTGCCGCGGAAGGCTTGAACAACAGCTTTCAGCTCACTTCTGTAGAAGACTGTGTCAAAGAGGCTCTTGTAAGACAGCTCTTGCCTCATGGAGTTTCCGAAAATAGGGGACCCTAATATAGCACCCTAAATAGTAGGATCCTTCTTATAAGGACCCCAGAATAAGGTACCCCTAACTTTCGGAAACTCCCCTTGCAAGACCGATCTTGCCTCAGGACCCCAAAGAAGGCACCCCTAATTTTCGGAATCTCCCCTATGATTAGTAATCAATTTTTGCCCTGGCAGGAACCCAAGGGTCTTGTAAGACCGATCTTTTGGAATCTGCCCCCACCCTGTAATAGTGACTATAAGGATTATATAGGATTCTATTAGGGCCCTATTATATTCCTATTATGCCACTATTACAGGGTGGGGGCAGCTTCTAACCGATCTTGCCTCATGTGATAGCCGATCGCGATGGCGACTCCTGGAGACCTCGCAGCCCAAGTGCTGGCGAACTGCCTGGATGCACCAACCCAAAACGCCTTGACCTTCAGGGTTTCCCTATAGTCTCCATTGTAGTTCCTTTTTTGGGTTACCTTATAGGATCCTTAATATACTTGGTTAAACCAAAAAGAGGAACTAGAACGGAGACTAAGGTAGGGTTTAGGGCGAAGTCCCTCAGGGACCATGTACCCACATAGTATACTTTACTTCTGTAAGGGTTACTATAGGGGCTCCTCTCCAAGGGTAAAAGGAGGGACCCTTATTAAGGACCCCTAGGTATATACCCTTAATATAGCTATTATATACTATAGCCCATCATGGGGTAGGGGTCCCCATTCAGGGTCCCTCCTTTTCCCCTTTGATCCTCAGGGTTTGGCGGTCCATGTACGCTTCATGGTCAGTTCACAAGCATGCATGCAGGAAAATGTGCTGAGGCCCGTCTCTCGGACAGGATAAAACTCAAAACCCGACTAGCCATGTACTATCTCAGGGGCCTTAAAAGTAGGGGCCTTACACCAAACCCTTTTAGGGCTCTCGAAACCCCAAACCCCTAAACCCTAAACCCTTAAAGCCCTAAACCCCTAAACCCTAAACCCTTCAAGCCCTAAACCCTAACCCCTAAAAGCCCTAAAGCCCTAAACCCTAACCCCGCCTTCGGAAAGCTGCAGGACCATTATACTATATAGTATAACAAGGAACCCAAAAACAGTATGGGTAATTATTGAGGCCGCTGTAGTAAGCGCTGCCCACCTTCGGAAAGCTGCAGGACTTCAGAGTATTCACCCCGGGAGCCAGGAGGAGCTGCCCTAGCCGGGTGTCCGGATCCTCCTTTCCGGGCGCAAGGTAGGGTTTAGGAGTTTAAGGCTTTTAGGGTTTAGGGTTTAGGGGTTTTTAGGGTTTAGGGTTTTTAGGGTTTAGGGTTTAGGAGTTTAGGGCCGGTTTCTAGGGTTTAGGGGCCTTACTAAATAGAATAGAGCTCCTTTAAAGCTGTGTATAAGGCCTACTATAAGGGATCTATAAGGGCAATATACTGTAAATGGTCTATAAGTGATCTATAGTAAGGTTCTACAGTGTAAGGGCCTGAATCATTAGAATGGGGCTGCGGGGTATTTATGCTGTACCATAATGGACCGAAGTGAAGAAGACGTTCGGGTGCAGGGTTTATAGGGGTTTAGAGGTTTAGGGTTAAGGGTTTTAGGGTTTAGGGTTTTAGGGTTTTAGGGTTTAGGATTTAGGGTGATAAGTAGTAAGGAAGGCGGGCGTGGGATTCAAGACGTCCCCTGTTTCAGATTTGCTTGCAATTCCCTCCTTACTCGGGGTCCTTACAGCCTCCACACACGTTCTGCTCTGACAAAGCCTTCTTATCGATTCTTTATTACAATCCTACCGAACTACCTAGTTCTTCGGCTCTTAAGTACGGCCAAATATTTAAGACGCCGCTGGGTGCTGGGCACATATCTCGAACTCTAACCCCTGAAACCCAAACAACTGACCAATGACTCGGCACTTAAGACGTACCAAACACACCTATGCCGGGCGAGGGGCCCACATATTTCAGCACTACCACCTGATCTTAAAGTATACACCTGATTCCGTTGAAAAATCGCTTGTAAACACCAGAAGCCTTTGTATTTTGACTAAAACCAAGCTGTGTCTGAAATTCGGCGCCCGGCATAAGGAACAGGTGGAAAAAAAGATCAATGAAGGCCCTATATCACAGCCATGTCCCAAAACCAAACTCCCCAACACCCCGAAACGCCAAAACCCTGCAACCGAGGTACACAACACACAACTCCCTGGTGCTTAGTAGGGACTGGGGGAGGGGATCCCTATAGTAGCCCCTATATAATGCGGCAATGACCATAATCTATTCCCCCATTCCCTACTAAGAACTAGACAGACAAAGAAGAGAAGGAGTCTTACCATGTTTTCATGTATCTTAGTTGTGGCCGGCGGTTGTGGAGTCTCTGGGAACAACCCCAAAGACTCCAATATTCCTTGATTAAGGAATATACCTTAAATTACAGTAGGATCCCTAATATGATTTCAGGTGTACCTGGACCCTAAGGAACCTACCTTTTAGGGCCCCCCTAAATATGATTCCTTCATATAAGTCCCTCTAAAGGTAGATTTAGATTATTTGGGGTTCAGGTATTCCTTAATTACTATACTGAACTTGGAACCCTAGCACAAATCATAGTTTAAGCTGCTTTTTCGGGATTATAATAACCAAAAAATTAAACACTATTTCTAAGTACCCCTAAGCTTAATTCAGTGATAATGGAGCGTCGGCTTATATGATTTCTTCATATAAGCCCCTATCAAGGTAGATTATTTGGGGTTAATTAAAGTAAACCCTAAACCCTAGATCCTTCCTTAATTAAGGGATAATGGAGTCTCTGGGAACACCGTTTGTAGCCAGTCCTGGCTCTGCAGGACGCAGCCGCCCTTTTGTCGCAGTGGTCCAAGGACTTCTTCACCTAGGGTTTGGGGTTTAGGGGTTTAGGGGTTTAGGGTTTAGGATTTAGGGGTGTAGAGTTTAGGGTTTCGGGGTTGCGGGGTTTAGGGTTTAGAGTTTAGGGGTTCGGGGTTTAGGGTAGGGAGTTTAACTTAAGCTCCCATAGTAGAGATCTATAGAATATAGAATAGTAAGGACCTATATTATATGGCTGCAAAGACCATAAGGGCTCCATTAAAGGGCCATTGGGGTCCTGGTACTATGGTAACTTAAACACTAAATATTACACAGGGACCCTTCGGGGGGTAGCGGGGAGGTGGGTAGGGGGTGTTAATACCCATAGTAATGACTTACTAGGCTGATTTGAGGAAGTATAGTCCCCTACCCCCCTCCCGCCTACCCCCTTAGGGGTCCCTAGGAACCTTACCTATAGTCTCCATTGTAGTTCCTTTTTGGGGGTTACTTCTAGGATCCTTAATATAAAATTGGTTAAGCCTGAAAAAAGAACTACAATGGAGACTATAGGTACACTCACCCCCTTAGGGGAGTAGGTTATAAGTAGGGTTATAAGTACCCTAAATGGAGTTAATTACCCCAAGTATAACCCTACTTATAACCTACTTACTAAGTCCCCTGGGACTCCAAGTAGGAATCTTACACTCTTCAATGAGAGCCCAGTCACGCTCCTCATCCTGGTAGCCACTCCACAGCAAGAGGTGCGTCTTCTCCTTATCAGGGTTGCTTTGTATAAAAACAGCTCATTATAAAAAAACACACCCTGAACCCTAGTCCCTAAAAAGTGAGCCCTAAATCCTAAACCCTAACCCCTAAACCCTACTTAACTGATGCTAAAGGCTAGTTTCCGAAAATAGGGGACGGTAATATAGTAGCCTAGATAATAGGATCCTTCTTACAAGGACCCCAAAATACCGTACCCCTCATTTTCGGAAGTTCCCAAACGGGGTCGAGGAGCCGGGCCGCACTGCACCAAGCCTAGGTGTGGCTTTTGAGGCTTTTGAAAAATATTAGTAGATAAGATCCTCTTAAGCCCAATAAAGGAAAAAAAATGTCCCAAAGCCCTACCTAGAAGCTCTGGCTCCAGACCTCGTAGTCCCCATCGCTGACAACGGCTTCCGCCTCCCCGGTGCGGGGCGACGAGGAAAAGGGTTAGGGTTTCCTTTAAAAAGGAGCTGTAAGGGTTTCCTTCAAAAGGAAGTGCTAGGGCTCCTTTAAAGGGTACTATAAGGGTTCCACTAAGGGATCTATAGGGGTTTAGGGTTTGGGGGTTTGGGGTTTTGGGCTTTGGGTTTGGGGTTTCAGGCTTAGGGATAAGGGTTTAGGATGGTTCAGGGTTTAGGGTCTTTGGTTTTGGGTTTAGGGATTAGGTTTTTGAGCTTAGGGTTTGGGGTTGTGGGATTCGGGTTTAAGATGGTTTGGGAATTAAGGTTTAGGATGGCTTAGGGTTTAGGGCTTGGGGTTTACGGCCATCACCCAGAGAGCCCAATACCCCTTAGTTTGGAGGATACCTTAATTCGTTTTTTAAACCATAAAGAAACAACCTATGCCCCCTAATGCTCGATTAAAGTATCGCGCTGCGGATCGGTTGGGTTTGAGTCTAGCAGAGGCTAGTTGGCCATCCAATAAAATCCCTATGGTACGGTCTGTATAATGTCTTAGGAAGTAATCCTTGTGGAACCCTTTAACGGAACCCTACTCCCTGAACCCTAAATCCTGGAACCCTTTAAACCATCCAGCCTTAAACTCCTAAACCCTTAAGCCCTAAAACCCTGAAACCCTAAACCCTACTCCCTGAACTCTAAACCCCTACTCTACTTAAAAAAGGCCACTCTGCGAGTTTCCCCCGACCTCAGCTTCGCAGCCTCCGTCCGAAACCGTCTTGCCATTCTGCTGGTCCTGACCCAAAGGGTGCTAGTGTTGATGGAAAAAAATCCTGCATGACCTTAAGGACCCTAAACTATGGGAACTATGGTATATTCCTTATAATGGGTATTGCAGGATTTCGTCCATCAGCAGTAGGTATTGTGATGGGGGGATACTTCCCTAAGTCATAATAGTAATTCCTAGTATAGAAACCCCCCAGTCTACTATATATAGTAGAAGCCAGAAAGTTGGAACATCAGACTCCTCATGCCCTTAAGGTAAAGTATAAGGGATCCTAGCACGAATCCTCCTAAAGCCATGTTCCAACTTTCTGGCTTCTACTGTAGGTACTTTGGACCCTTTGGGTGAACAAGGGTTTGACAGAGGGCTTTCTGGGGTTCAGGGGTAAGTTTAGTTTTGGGGGTTTAGGGTTTAGGGCTTGGAGGAGTTTAGGGGCTTAGGGTTTAGGATTTGCATTGTCGGGCGTTTCGGGTTTCAGGGTTTTACGGCTAAAGATGCACTGAGGGTTTGGGGTCCCCCTTATTCCGCTGGTTATCCTGAGGGGAAACAGGAAAATATCAACTGCCTTCGTAGTATAATGGGCATCCATGATTAGGAAAGGGCCTTCAGGTATACTTTAAAGCATAATCAAGGGTGTCCGAGGGCCAGTCGAGGGTGATGAGAACGGTCCTCTTCGCAACTGTCCTGTATCTTCCTCTTGAGTATTCGAAGCTCTTCTTCGCATCCTGGGTTTATGGTTCAGTGCTTATGTGGGAGTTTCCGAAAATAGGGGTACCCTATTCTGGGGTCATTATAATAAGGATCCTACTATTTAGGGTACTATATTAGGGTCCCCTATTTTCGGAAACTCCCATGTAGGGGTTTAGGGTTTAGGGTCTATCATTCCGGTCTGGTTCCCGTTCCGGCAGCTGACTTCAACACTGTCATTTGGGTGATTGTCAAAATTAGGGTCCTTTTTGGGTCCCTACTATATATAGTACGGCACCTAATATTTAGGGTACCCAAAAAGGGGCCACAATTTTGACAACCACCCATTTGAAGCCTATCATCTCTTGGCGCAGCGGAGGAGGAGAGAAAAGGACATGGCCTAAACCCCAAACCCCTAAGAAAAAGAGAGAGAGAGAGAGAGACAGACAGAGAGATTTGCAGAGAGAGGGAGAGGGAGAGGGAGAGGGAGAGGGAGAGGGAGAGGGAGAGGGAGAGGGAGAGGGAGAGGGAGAGGGAGAGGAAGGGTAGGAGAGGGAGGGTAGGAGAGGGAGGGTAGGAAAAGACCAAGGATGAACATGATCGGACCAGTTTACGAATGCAGCTGTAAACCCTAAACCTTAACAAACCCTAAAACCGTAGACCCAGAAACCGAAAACCCTAAACCCTATAAAACCTAAACCCCTAAAGTGCCAAGGCACGAGAGGGGTCGGGTTCCAAGAAGCTGCCTACTGACTCTCTCTCGGCGGTGCCTGGATGCACAGCCAGGACTACATGGGTAGTTCTAAGGTTTAGTGCTGGGGTTTAGGGGTTGAGGGTTTAGAGGTTTAGGGTTTGGGGGCTTGAGGTTTAGGTATATGGGTAGTTTTCTAAAGTCGGGTACCTTTTTCGAGGTCCTTTTTATGAAGGTGCCGTACTCTTCGGGGCAGCTGAAACAGGGCCCTAATTTACAGAGCTACCCACATCGTTTCAAGCAGTTTCCGGACCATACACTGAAATTTTAGTTTCAGGTTTGGGGTGTTGCGTTCAGCGCGGAAACATCTGCAGAAATGAAACACATAAGGTCTTAGGGTTTTCGGTTTACTAGAGGCGCCTGAATCGTTGGAATAATTAGGATTTTGGGCCCCGTGATACTCTCATTATACTAAGGAGCCCCCACAATAGTATAGGTAATCATCAAGGCGCCTATATTAGGGGTTTGGGGGGTATAGGGTGACATAGGGCCCCAAAAAAGCACATAAGCAAAAATAAGGATAGGGAAATCCCATATAAATCCCCTTATAATGAAGCCCAATAAGGAAGGGATATCCCTGTAAAATGCTTATGCTTATGTGCTTTTGGGGGTCCCTAGGCAAGGTTGCGCAAAGGGAATCTTAGCGGCTCGGAAACTCAAAACGTCGACGTCTGGGAAAATCCCCCGCCCCCAGAGCAATAACGAGAAAAGCAACCCGGACCCCCCCCCCCTCTAAAGGGCCCTTTAATGGAGCCCTTATGGCCCTTAATTGTGGGTATTTGGGGTATGTTAGAGGGGTGCAGTAGTTGGGGGTACCCCGAGTCTCGATTCCGAGTCACCTCTTCGTAAGCCGATGACGCGGTGGCTGCTGACAAAGAGCAGCAGCGATATGAAGACCACCATGGCACTGATAGTGCCAGACATATGAACAGATCACATTTGACAAACAGAGTGCTTGAGGCTAAATTGCTTCGGAGCATTATACTATAGTCATATAAGGACCCCCCAAAAAATAGTATAGGTAGTTGTTTAAGCCCCGATAGTAAATTGCTTGCCAAGCAGATCGCAAGAGGTCCAACCCTGCAAATCTGTCTGCTGACTAACCCTCGCGTCACTACCCACATTTGGATGATGCTTGTCATGTTCAACGCATGAACTTTCAATAACCGTATCAATAACAATACTCCGTAAATACTGATGTATCGCCTACAGTTGATTACTACGATGTTAGCATATTCCAGGGGGCTGAACAACCTTATTGAATGCTCTTGCCTTTCTCACTAACAGTATGGGGGCAACGGCAAAGGTGATGAGGATGATGCTGTTGTTGCTCATGAAGATGCTGGTGTTGGTGGTATGATGACTGCTGCTGTTGTTGCGGATGGCACCTGTCAGTATAAACGGAGCTGGACAAGCAAGCACACTCTTGGATGGATAGGCAGATGAACGGAGAGTGGTACACGTGCGTAGATAACGATAACGGGTGCGAGAGATGGAAACGAAACACACCGGCATCAGATGTCATCCGGGAGATAGTGCATTGACAAGCGAGCGTAGGGAAAACGCCAACGAGAAGACGCATCTAAGCCGAGAGACGGGAAGAAAGGCACAACTAGATCGACGAATAGAAAGGGATAGACATGTGGACATATGTGACCTGGAAAAGTTTGGGAACAACATCTCTGCAAGCAGCTTCGCGGAACCCTTCACCTACCACCCTACAACCTACTAGACCCGAGTACACCCCAAGCTCGGAAACCTTAGATGTCACAAGCCTGCTGCCAAAGGTGCAAAAGTTGTAGAAAGCCGCTTCCAATCCTGGGGTGTTGTTTGTCTGCTACGGTTCGTTCGAGTTTGTTCATAGAGATAGACATGTGTACTCCATTTTGCGTCCTACTGCGCGAAAGCATAAAGCATGAAGAGCTTCTCAGATCAGGCGAAAATACCAGCCTTTTAGCACAAAACCCTCAATGAACAAATGTAGCTTTTGATCATTACAATAGGATGCTTGGGGTGTTTGGGCATAACATTATCAGTATGGCTGGGGACTATATGGGAACATGTCTGTGATTCTGCGACCCGCTATGCTACACCCTAACCCTGTTTCCGATTAGCCTAGAAGCCCCGCGAGCCCCCCCCCATATGCCCTGTAATTCTTGAAGGGCAAGCCCTACAAACACGACACCCTAAACCGTGCATGAATATACGTATACATATATATATATATATATATATATATATATATATGTATATGTCTTTATGTGTCTATATACTTACGCAAATAAACATGCACATAATTCACATTTCTATACTTAATATCCATGCACATGTTGTGTATATACATACATGTTATATGGATATTTCTCTCTCTCTATATATATATATGCATGTCTATACAAATGCATGCATAAGTACATATACATACAGACATACATACCTACGTACGTACGTTGATACATACCCTAAACCCCTACATCCCTGAAACGCTAGACCCTAAGTCCCTAAAGCCCCAAAGCCCTAAATCCCTAAATGCCCAAAACCCTACATCCCTAGAGCCCCAAAGCCCTAAATCCCTAAAGACCCAAAACCCTAAATTCCTAGAGCCCCCAAAACCCTAAATCCCTGAAGCCCCCAAAACCTACCCTGCCCTAAATCCCTGAATCCCTTAAGCCCTAAATCCTGCGAATCTAATACGGCACCTAATATTTAGGGTACCAAAACAGGGACCCCAATTTTGACAACTACCCACATACCCATGGCAAGAGTCCGTCGCTATCCCGAATATGGAATTTAAAGGGGCCCTACAAAAAAGTCGGCCTTGGTAGACTCAGGTGCCCTGCAAGCCAAGAATCCGTCGCTGTCACTCGGGGCCAAGATGGCCTTGGCTTTCTCGATCTCTCCTCGGCATCAGAAGTGGACCGGTCTTTGGGATTCAGGATTTAGGGCTCTTGGGGTTTTGGGCTTTATAGGGCTTTAGGACTTCAAGATATTATTAAGGTTTATAAGAATTTAGGATATTAGGGTTTTAGGATTTTAGGATATTAGGGGTTTATGGTGTGTGTAGGGGTCTACGACATTAGGGTTCTAGGGCATAGGGATGTTTAGGGTCTGAGGGTTGAGAGTTCGGGGGTTTAGGATATGTAGAATACGGATTTACGGGTGTTTAATAATTTAAGGTTTCTGTAACTGTTCCAGAATTGTCTCAAGGGTTTGTGAGGGTTATGTGATAGGGACCTTGCAATACATGGAACAGGATGCTATGATACGGGTTCCTTCATTTCCTTCTCCATGGATTCTATAAATGGTTACGAGAAAGGATCTATAATCATCATGTAGGAGCCTGAAGTATTAGAAAAGGGTGGCCGTAGTAGAGTCATGAACAGGAATGCCTGAAGAATTGTGTTGGTAAATCTGTGACGCTGTGCAGACAACACCTTTACGATTAAGGCTCCAAGTGAAGGTAGATAGCATCTGCTTTGGGATCTCCTGATCAATACACCCCTCTGCCCCGAGGAACACAGCAAGCAAATTGGAAAAAGAGTCATCCTCTTTAGAGTTTAAGTCGATGAATAGAATCTACTGTGGGCGATTTGCAGCCCCAGGTACTAGGAGTGCCCTTGGGGGTCAGGGTTTTAAGCAAGGTAGCTTTTGTTATATACACTTAAAACCCAATAAAAGTGCTTATAACCCCAATTAAGGTACTTGTAACCAAAGAAGGAGCTCCGCGAACGAGGGGAATGTTTAGGGCTTACAGGTTTTGAACCCTGATGCCTAACAGCTAATTTAGGGGGCCTTAATAATTAGAATAGGGTTTCTGAGCCCATTATACTATAACTATAGTAAGGAACCCCCCCAAAATCGTATTGGTAATTATTTAGGCCCCTATCTTACCTAGAACCCCGGGCCAGCAACTAACCCACAAGGCGCAATCCAACAACCCTAAAGCTTGAAGAGGGTCTCACCTCGTGGTCTACGGAACATCTTGATTCGGGGAGAGGTGGAACTTTGAACTTTGAACACTAAACCCTGCAACCTCAACTGAAACACCACGGTCACAAAGCCAAGCCGTGAGAACCCCTACGAAGCCTCAAAAGCTCCTGCTACAGAACCCAGTCCCCAGAGGCTCCAATATCCCTTAATTAAGGAATATACCTTAAATTAGAATAGGATCCTTTATATGATTTAAGGAATATTCGAATATTCCTTAAATAAGGGATATTGGATCTAAAACAACTCACCAAAAATCCTAAACCCTGAACCCCAAGTTTACGGGTTTAGGGTTTAAGGGTTTAAAGTTTGGGGGTTCAGGGTTTAGGGTTTAGAACCCTAGACCCTAGACTGAACCCTAAACTGTATACCCTAAACCCTAATCCCTTAAAGGACCCCTTAGAAGGATCCCTTATAGGGAGCCCTTATAAGGATCCCCTTAAAGGAACCCCCAAAAGCCCCAAGCGTTGCCTCCCGGCGGCTGCCCCACGCGCTCTCCACCCTAAACCATAAACCGTAGAACCAAACACCTAAACCGTTGACCCTGAACCCTGCACCCTGAACCCCAAACCCTAGACCCTAAACCCCTTGTAGAAACCCTATAGACCCCTAAAACGGGACCCTTAAAGGAACCCAAACTAACTACCCCTTAACCGTAACCCCAGACCCGAAACCTAAACCCAGAACCCTAAACCTTGGAGACCTCAAAAGGTGGGATGAAGGTAGGTAGGAGTAAGGATCCCTTGTCATTATAAGGACTCTTCTGTGAGAATATCCCACCTACCTTCATCTCACCTTTGGAGCCCTTTGAAAACCCTAAACCCAGAATCCTAAACCCTAAACCCTCTATAGAACCCTTATAGATCCCTTCAAGGATACCTTGAAAGGTACCCCTAACTTTCCCCCCTAAACCAGTCGGCCCCACCCTTGTCCCAGTAGAAATAATAGACAGAGCCCTATACCTATATCCCTTAATAGGAATTATGTAAGAAGGTCTACTAGCCGGTCTGTTTATTCTTTTGGGGGAACCTTGAAAAAGGACAAGGCTGGTCCCGGCTGGCGGCGGTTGCCAACTCCGCTCTTGACCCAGCTGGCGAACTCATCAAAGGAGACATTTCCATCCCCGGAGGCGTCCAGGCTCACACCTCAAAGGCATGTGGGCTTCCTTTAAGGGTCCCTCTAAAGGGATCTATAGGGATTCGAAAAGGAGTTTACGGTTTAGGTAGTTTGGGTTCCTTTAAGGGTCCCTCTAAAGGGATCTATAGGGATTCTATAAGGGGTTTACGGTTTAGGTAGTTTGGGTTCCTTTAAGGGTCCCTGTAAAGGGATCTATAGGGATTATGTACGACGTTTACGGTTTAGGGTCTAAAGTTTAAGGGGTATCTTGGGTTCCTTTAAGCGTCCCTTTACTATAGGGATTCTATGAGGGGTTTACGGTTTAGGTAGTTTGGGTTCGAGGGGTTTACGGTTTAGGTAGTTTGGGTTCCTTTAAGGGCCCCTTTAAATGGATCTATAGGGATTCTAGGAGGGGTTTACGGTTTAGGGTCTAGAGTTTAAGGGATAGTTTGGGTTCCTTGAAGGGTCCCTTTAAAGGGATGTATAGGGATTCTAAAAGGAGTTTACGGTTTAGGTATGTGGGGTTCCTTTAAGGGTCCCGAAAAAGGGATCCATAGGGATTCTATAAGAGGTTTACGGTTCAGGGTCTAGGGTTTAAGGGGTAGTTTGGGTTCGTTTAAGGGTCCCTTTAAAGTGATCTATAGGGATTCTACAAGGGGTTGAGGGTTTAGGGTTTAAGGGGTAGTTTGGGTTCCTTTAAGGGTTCCTTTAAAGGTATCCATAGGGATTCCATAAGGGTATAAGAGTTGAGGAATCTTCGTGCAGGCAGGACAAAACCCTGAATTTTCCAGAAAAGCAGTACACTTTCATGAGTTCTACAGATTTTGGAAATGCTAGTGGCCCTAAACCCTAAACCCTAAGCCGCTAAACCCTAAACCCTATTGCAGGATCCCTGTCTGTGAGCAGAATGACAGGTGGAAGCTCAACGAAACGGCTAATAGGCTTAGGGGCAGAGGTGTTCGCTTCTCAGAACCCATGACGGTAGACAAACCGTAAGGCTCTAAGGACTCATATTTTGAGGCTTTCTGGCCTAAAGACCATGTTATGCGAGGCTTTGGGGCTATTTTGATCCCTAGGGAAAGGAACATGCTCTTAGACAACATACGTATCTTCAACTATACTAAGAGTTGACCAGGCTTGCCTTCTCTTCGCATCACATCACATACAAGATCCATGCATACACACAGATTTACACATACATACATACATACATGCATACTTACATACATACATACATACATACGTACATACATACATGCATGCATGCATGCATACATACATACATACATGCATGCATGAATACATACATACATACATACATACAGCCATGCTATGTCATGCCATGCCATGCCATGCCCTGCCCTGCCCTGCCCTGCCATGTCCTGCCATCCCACGCAATCCCATGCCATGCCAAGCCATGCCACGCCATGCCATCCCATGCCATGCCATGCCATACCGTGCCATACCATACGCGATATCGTACATACATACATACATACATACATACATACACTACATACATACATGCTTACTTACTTAATTATGTACATGCCACATACCTGCGTACATTCCGACATACCTATGCACATACATGAGTACATACCTACCTCATACCCACCTCCACACCAGGGCACACACAGCTGCATACATACCTTCATGAATCATACCTCTAAACCTTATATGCACCAAAAGTCAAACCCAAAACCCCAAACCCCAGACCTGAACCGCCCTAGTGCCATTGCTGAGCCCGCAGCAGACGTTTCGCACCTCCTCGGTCGTCAAGGAGCCCAAGTTTTGCAAAGCCTTGGACAGCTCCTTGCGTATCCAAGTGTGCTGACTTTATATTGGAAAAGGTTCTTTTACCAATTATTGGGGTTCTCTCCAACAGCCCGCACTTAATCAAATTGCCGAATTTTGCAGTGTCCCTAGCTAAATGCTTGTTGAGGCTTCTTTCCACACTGCAAGTGGTCAGACTTAAATTACACCTCACACGCTAAACCCTAAACTTTGAACCCTAAACGCTGACCCCGAAAAACCTTACATCCTGAACGATTTCGGTCGAAGACACCATCATTGGGGATTAGGGCTTCGGATTCGTTGTTTTTGCGACGACTTAAGGTCGCTGGGCCGTCCTTGGAATTAAGGCTTCAGGGTTTCGGGTGAGGGAAACACAGGTGGGAACAAACAAGCTCTACAACCATACTTGAAACTAACATTTACACGACCCAACGTGGCAGTATCTTCCTAGGTCCGACAGCCTTAATCTTACGTTCCCGAGAACTCATTGGCAGCGAAAGCTAAAACTTTCAGAAACGTCTGAAAGCCCAACAGCCGACAAGTAACAGGGACCCCTGTCGGAGAACTACACAAACCCTCAAACCCAAAACCCAAACCCCTAAACCCTTAAACCCTAAAACCCACGACCCATCCAAAGGGAAGCAAAGCCAAACGCCTTGAAGCTCCCCGAATCGAGACCATAACCCGCAAACGACACAAAACACATAAGACGCACCCAAAAGCCCTGCAGCTCAAAAGGCTTTGGGGGATCTTAGATACTTGGGCTTAGAGCTCCAAAATAAGATTCCATCAGAATCCTGCTCCTGAGCTAGCCAAAGCCCTAGTAAGGCATCATCTGCCAAAGAAATTGGCTTCGGCTTGACATTCGAAGGCGACCTCGATCTGGGCTATGAGACATTTCGGGTTTAGGGATTAGGGTTTGTGACGGCTCTTACTTTGATGCAACGGTTTAGGGTTTAGGGTTTCACTACCATCGAGGCAGCAGGTTCTCTAAACCCTAAGTTTCACTAAACCCTAAACCCTAAGTGTCAGGGAGTCCTTCATGTCGAGAAATCCCTCGCCATCCGTGTCATACTTGTTAAACGTCTGCCTCACGACAGCTCGAGGCTAAGGGATAAAAAGGGTAGTTAACATTTAGGGCTTGAGGTCTAGGGGTTTATAAGGGCTTGAGCTTCTAGCCCACTGCAAGTGCAGTAAGGGGACAAAGAGCCAGAGGATTTCAGGATCTAGGGTTTCAATTCAGGACTTGTTTGAGCGGAGGCAGGTCTGGCTTCCTTTAAACTAGGATGCCCGGTAACCTGGGAATAAAAAGGGCTCCCTTTTTGGTATTGGGTAACTTTATAAGGGACCTAGGACTACAGAAAGGGAACAAGGGTATTACCGGGCATCCTACGGTTGATGATATAAATCCTGCATTACCCATAATAAGGAATATACCGTAATTCCCATAGTTTAGGGTCCTCAAGGTCATGCAGGATTTATATCATCAACCGTGGTAAAGGCACTCTGGGAGATCGAACGGCTTACGGTGCCAGCCCGGAAGCATCAGCCGAAGATCCTGGAACCCCCCAAAACACCCTCACCTCCGAGGCCCCAACTCCAAAAAGCCTTACCAGTAGGGACTTTGGCCCTAGCAAGGCATAATATAGGGGCCTTTATAGTTAGACTAGGGTTCCTTTAACGGGAGCTGTAAGGGGTACTATAATGGGGCACTACAAGGGCTCTATGATATAGGGGCCTTAATAATTAGAATAGGGTTTCGGGGCCCATTGTACTATAGCTACAATCAGGAGCCACCCAAAATGATATAGGTAATTGTTAAGGTCCCTCTGTTACGTACCCTAACGCCCTGAAGATAATCCTACATCCTACATCTCTGCACCCCGAATCCTTTCAAACACCTAACCCTAAACCCTAAATCCTTAAGCCCTAAACCTGTTACAAGCCCTTGTCCCTGCACTGGATTTGGGAAACGTTAGAGTCGTAACCGAAACCGCCGAAGAGTTCTCAAACCCCAAGCAGCCTTATGGGAGTTTCCGAGAACTAGGGGTACCTTGTTTTGGGGTCCTTATAACGAGGATCCTACTATTTAGGGTACTAGATAAGGGTCCGCAATTTTTGTAAACTCCTTTATCAAATCCCTCACAAACGCTTAGCAAGCCCTAGAAGCACCATCGAAACACTGCAAACAAATTCATACGTTCCCATAAACACACCGAGTAAACCCTGAAGCCTATAGTAGACGCCAGAAAGTTGGAACATGGCTTTAGGAGGATTAGTGCTAGGATCCCCTCTACTCTACCTTAAGGGTATGAGGACAACGATGTTCCAACTTTCTGGCTTCTACTATAAATCCCAAATGAAAGAAACAACCCAAAGACTCCATGATCCTTTACTTAAGGAACATATAGTGAACCCCAGAAAGTTGGAACATAGATTTAGGATGATTCATGCTGGGATTCCCTATACTTTACTTTAAGGCCATGAGGCTAATGATGTTCCAACTTTCTGGCCTCTACTGTACCTTAAATCATACGAGGGATCCTATTCTAATTTAAGGTATTCCTTAGAAGCTGCCCCCACCCTGTAATAGTGACCATAAGGATATATAAGGATTATATGAGGGCCCTATTATATTCCTATTATACCACTATTACAGGGTGGGGGCAGCTTCTAAGGTATATCCCTTAATTAAGGCATATTGGAGTCTCTGGGAAGCTGCGGGGGGCCTTATTCTCTGCTCCCACCGCAAGCCGGTGTTGGCCAGAATGGCCTGGAGGAGTATAATCGGAGCAGTCCTTTAGTTTTTTTTTTTTTTTTTTAAGGGCTCCTTTTTGGGTCCTTTAGGGTTTAGGGCTTAGGGTTTGGGGTTTAGGGTTTAGGGATTTAGGGTTTAGGGTTTAGGGTTTGGGGTTTAGGGTTTAGGGAGCATCCGTGAAAAAGATACAAACCCACAGGTTAAAGTTAGGTTCGGAAGCACACCATGAAGCAATCAACACCCTATGCTGGTTAAACCACAATGACTACAATAAGTCCCGACCCTACAAGCTACTGCCTTGTCGAGCCACTCAAACCACGACTCAGAAACCCACGACACAAAGAAGCACAACTCCCAACACAGAACGCCCAGACCCACAAACTCTTAAGCCCAACTCCTGAACAGACATTCATAAGACTAGCCGGGCTCCATGAGCCTTAACCCTCTACACTTCTTAACCGGATCCCCAAAGAATCTACGGAAACACGATGAGAACTTTTGAGATATGGCGTGTAGGGTATAGGGATTTAGGCGAAGACCCTGGAATCTCTATCAAAACCTATAAACCCTAAAACTGATAAATCCTATAAGCCCCAAACCTTATAAACCCTTTAAGCCCTGTAAACTCTATAAGCACTATAAACCCTATAAGGCCTATAAACCCTATAAACGCTATAAACCCTCAAAGCCCTATGCCCCATGAGCTCTATAAACCCCTACAAACCCCAAATCATTGCTCCCCAAGCCCTGTCGTCCGGGTGGGTTTCGGAAGACCCCAAACCCTAAACCCCAATATGGCCCTGGAACCCTAAACCCTAAACCATACAGATCCCCTAACTCTTTAAAGGAAGGTCCAAAGGGCCCAATAATTAGGTACTCGGTTTTAGGATGGCTGACAGTACCGCTATGATTGTAGTGCCGATAATTGCTAGGATGCCCAGTAACCTAGGAATAAAAGGCCTCCCTTTCTGGTGTTGGGTAACTCAATAAAGGGCCTTCTACAAAAAGGGAATAAGGATACTACCGGGCATCCTAGAAACCTATATATCTGATTAAACCATCGGAACTTATGGCTTTCAGGATTTAGGGCTTATAGGGCCCACCCCCCCCCCTCCCCCCTCACCCCCCAAAAAAAAGAGCAGGGTACCAAACAGCTCTCAAACCCTTTCGGCTGCGCTCCTTCTTGACGTAGATGGCATTTTCCCCCTCTTTCCGGAGCCACGCCTGCTTCCAGAGAACCCCGGAGACTCCAATAGTCCTTACAGTAAACCCCATAAGGTTGGAAACCGGATTAAGGGCAAATAGTGCTGGGATTCCCTATATATGACTCTTAACTTAAGGATTGAGGCTATTGGATTTCCAACTCTTGGGGCTTCGACCGTAACCCTAAGGGTCCATGTAGCCATATAGAGGATACATGGGCCACAAAGTACCTATATAGGGACTACATTAAGGCCAACGTACATACCATATGAGTACATGGACCCTTAGGGTAGTTAAGGAATATACCTTAAAATCATCTTAGGGGTCATCGTATAATTTACGGCATATTGAAGTATTGGAGTCCTTAATCCGCCGAGGCCACAGGCCCAGGCGTCTTGGTGGTTACCTCAGGTACCCTCCACCTAATCCTCCTCCACCCTGTTTTTGCGTTCGTTTGCCACCCCCTTGTCTGGCTTCTTCACCTTCCCTCCCTCCCTCTCCCCTCCCCCCTCCCCCTCCCCCCCTCCCCCCCTCCCCCCTGTGCCGATACACCCCCAAGGGATACTCCTTGTAAGGAGGTGTATGACCAGTTATTCCCTAAGGATCAAAGGGCAGCGCCCTGCACACGGACAGTAGTTGTTTTGTCTTGCTACGCAAGGAGAGCTTGTCTTGTCTCAATATGGTAAAACCACTGTGAGCCAATGGGCAGCGGAATGTATATGTATGAGCATGCAGCCATTGCTGTAGGTACCTGTTAGAGCTACCCCTTTAGAGGTTTATGGTTTCAAACAGACACTAATTTTCTTTTACCGGAAGCATGGCCGCACATTCACACATATACTGTTATGCCCACTGTCACAGTTGCGGAGTTTGGACTCATTATAAAAACAGCATATTATTTATGCTAGGTATAGCACTGAAGTACACTGCTGAGGACACTCCACTCATTTTGCACACACACTCATGCATATTTGTCAGAGAGATCATCTGTACAAGATCAGGTCTGGTGATGTTCTACTACCGAATTATGCAGCCCTTCATTGTGCTCTTGTTAGAGCCTTGTGATTCACTGTTGTGAAACTCTGAGAATTTTCTTATCTCAGATTCGGATCCAGGTTTGGATCATAGGCTCGAGCATAGACGTTCGGATGTGGCTCATCCGGGTCTGAGTGGTCTTCTTCGGAACTTGAAAAGATTCCGAGTAATCTGTTCTCAGCCCTGGTGAAGGCGGCGTCTGCAGTATCATATCCATGGTTGGATGTTGTCGCCTTTGGCTCGGCCTTTGGAGCAGCTTGTGAGCTGACTGGAGTTGCCTTGGCTTTTGCCGGTTGCGGCTGCTTAGCCTTTGCCCGTTCAGCCCTTCTTCTTTCAAGCTGTCCGTCTGAGGACGCCCATGATCTTTCACTTTCATCTCCTGAAGGAGATAAGGCGTGGGCATAAAGGCTATTCCAGTACTGTGGTGCAGAAGGAGTTAGGACTTCTTCATTGTCAGATTCTGATTGGTCTTCCTCAGAGCTTTGGTCATCAAAAAGTGTCTCGAGGACATTTTTGAGATTGTTATTTCTTCGCTCTATCTCTAGTGAGGAATGGACCAATTGGTTAAAGACTGTCCTTGAGTCCTTCAGTGCTGTGAGAAGGATTTCCACTCTGGATAGAGTATCTTGGATGGTGTCAAGATGTTCCTTTCTTTCCTCCTTGTCTCTCTGGATAGAGCCTCGCAATGCTTGTGCGATTCTGAGGAGGTCTGTGTATTTCGCAAGAGGCATAGTTACCGTTTGATTGTCATGTATGACAGTTGTTTCGTCGCCGCTTAAGTTCCTGAATAGGACTTCCACGATTGGTAGGAACTCCGTGCTCCACGGTTCCTCTTCATCATATGTTTCTACGTGCTGTAGCACGCGTTGTGTAAACTGGCCGGCTGCTTCTACCGTTGCATCGATAGAGCTGACGTGTCTTGCCACTATGTTTCGGCACGTAACGTTAATTGCCTGGCCTTGATTGGCTTCGTCAAGTGCAGCGTCTGCATAGGTGCAGAGTCCACTGTTGTGGGCTTCTCTGGCTGCCTTTCGTTGAATACGACGATTTTGACCTCCTCTTCTGGTAGGACCTTTTGGTCTCGGAGGAGCAGAAGGTACTGTTCCTTTCGACTTTGGCGGAGGACTCTTAGGTGGAGGTGATATGTTTGCCTTGTTAGGCCCTGGTGGCATTGCCTTGGGCGCTGATGACGATGCGGCACTTGAGAGTGCAGATGTACCTCTGGCTTTTGCCGAGGATCCCTTGGGGATCGATGTATAGGTAATCTGCATGGCTTCCTCGGCCATTTGTGCATGCAAGGCATCCTGGAATAATTGTGTCATGTGAGGAGTGTTACTTGCATCATCGTAGGTCTGGAAGCGCTCAATGTCTCTTTCGGTGCCACGTGGTCGTGTATCACCTCTTTGGAAAGGATCATTCCTGCGAATCTCCGCAACTTGTACTGCATGGAGGCAGTTTTTGCACAGCACCTTCTTGCAAACATCTCTTGCTTGCTTGAGCTGGTAACAGCTGTCTGAGAGATGGTAGACTTCGCTTCGGGAAGTATGCCAGATAGGTCGCAGATCAGTTGTTTCTCCGGAATTGACCCTGTTGGGTCCTAAAGGTTCACGCGTCTGCGGTTCATCCTCGGGTTCGAGGAATGGAACTCTTTGGTTCGCTGCTGCTTTTGATTTTGGTTGTTGGCGCTCCATACATCTGATAGGAGGCCTGGTAATCTGCTTCCACATCCAGTGTAAGCCCATTAGCAGCAGGAACACATTCCACGTGATGCTGAAGACGGAGAAGTCTTGCTCACTGGTTAGTGAGTCTGGAAGTGAAGTTTCATCAGTCTTGGTAGACTCTGCGTTTGCTCCACCTCGGTTGCGGTGTCCGAACCAGCCCGACAACCCCGCTGCTGTAGCAGCTGTTCTGAGTGCCTTGCCGCTCGGAGCAGACGGTGGACGCGATGCCTTCCTTCTTCTTCTCCGACTGGAGGATTCGTCCTCTTGTTCCTCTTCATCTCTCTGAGCAGACATCAAGTTTGATGTTTCTCTTTCGTGTTCTTCGATGTCACTTTTTGTTGGTGACGGTTCTTCTTCTAGTCCATCCAGCTCTTCCAAAGACATGTTGAGCTTGTCAACAATATTGGTTCTTTGAGGCCTGGACCTTGATCTTGGTAGATCTTGTTGTGAAGAGGACGATGATTCCTGGTTCCTTCTTGGAGGAGGACCTTCAGGCTCGCTGGGACGTTCAGGCTGTGGCCACTCCCAGAATCTTCCATATCTGTGATGGCTACCTGATGGTTGCGATTTGTCGTACCAGCTGTTGCCGGATGAGTAAACGAATGAATCGTTGTAACCCCAGTATTCAGCATTACGCTGCTTGTAAGCCTTTCGCTTGTCAGCGATCTTCTGGACCTGGGCATCTGACCGGTTGTGTTTCCCTTTTGTAAGGATTGGTTGTATCGTGAAGCCCAAAGGGCTGTGCCAATCTTTGTCAGTGGGACTCAACCATAGGTCAAGGTTAGAAAAAGTTGAATAGTACTGCTTGACTGAGACAAACAGACGGATATCAATATCCCTGTTGTTGTTCGTGTCCTGCCACATATCTGAGATTCGTTCCCAGTATGTTCTTTCAGCGGCAGGTGTGACCTCTCTTGGACTAGGTGACGCCGTGTGCGGCGTTTTACTCCAGTCAAGGATATAACTGTTGATACAGTCAAGGTCAGCAACTTTCTTCGCCGGGTCCGCCGGTAGACGATCTGCACGTGCCAGTCTGTGCTGGTCGGAGTTGTTCAAGCAAAGATGTCGCACTTGTGAGTGCCTTCCTGCTATTCTGTTGAATGCTGCAAGTTTCTTCTCCAGGTATAGAGAAAACAAACTGTTTCGCGGGTGAACGTCTCCACCTTTTAAGGTGAGCCTCGACGCAATATTATTGAGATCTCCCGCTATTACATCCGGTTTAAAAGGGAGAATCTCGTTGAGGAACGCGTTCACCAGTTCGCGTCTCTGTTCTTCCTTATGAGTCATGAACGAGTTGAAATGGACGATCGCGATGGTGATGACCTTGTAAGGCCCTTTTGTACACCACATCTCGTCAAGATCGTTAGATGCTTCTTGTGAGAAGATCTCTGCGTATGTCTCAAAGTCTTCCTCTGGTGGCTCATCACCCTCGACATGGCCGTTCCATTCACAGAGAATCGGTGAGGGGTCGAGGGTTGACAATGTCAGACACGCCTCTGGTGAGAGGTAAGAGCCATCAGTGGGTCCATCCTTGTCAGGATTTTTGCCCTTGAGTGGGTCATATCCGATAATCTGCAGGAACTCGTCTCTCGTCATCCTTTGGCCAGAATATGGGTGGACCCATTCTTTTGCCTCTGGTATGGTACTGTGGTACCCAAAGGTGAGGCGGCATACTGCACCGTGGCATGCCCACAGTCGCTTCTTGGGACCACCATTCTTAGGCTTCATTGTTCGATGGCGGTAAAAGTGGTGGACGAGAGCGATGTCTGTTGTTGGGTCACCCTTGACTCCAATATACATTGAGGGTGCCTCAGGCTCCTTGGGAGGAGAGTGGATTAGCATCCCCCTGTATTCGTGTTTTCGCATGGTTGCGATCGAATACTCTGACGCAAGTGCTCCTGCCTCGAGTACGAGGGTAATATGAGCTGAATTGTTGAAGCACATGTCAATAAGAGGGTGATAATCGAATCCCTTCTCAGGTTTGAGCTTCTTTTTGGGATTCCCTGCGGGCACCGGCGCTCGATCCATATTTCCCCAGTTGAATACCACTAGGTTTAGCGATACGCTGTCTGGGTTTGAGCCTTCAATGTATTCTCTCTTCTCGTTAACACCGGCCATCCTATTGCGAACTATCTCGTAATGTGCGTCGAGCACCAGTTTGTCTTCGTAGCCAGTAAGAGAGAGAAAAGAAGCCGGGTGGCTTGTTCTAGAGTCCTTGATATTGATGTGACTCTTGTTAATGCTCTTATATTCCTCCAGGGTTGG